TTATTCCTTTGAAATTGTAATTGCGATTAACTACCATCATCACAATTCACATTGAATGATGTTTTGCATAGTTTTATGCTATTATTTGAAGCAACTGCATGTCATATTTGTATATGAAAATAAGTTGAAAACACTCTTCCTGAAAAACATTGATAGCAAGATAACATGTAGAAAAAAAAAACACATCTTAAGCACGCAGAATAATGTAAGTGGACCTTTTTTTGTAGTTGCATCTTTGAACGATTACATAATTGTGGCATCCGTAATTGTAATCATGATTAGAAATTAAATTAATTGTGCAGCCCTGAGCCCTATATTATCTTACAAAAAATTGTACTGAGCCTAAAACATTTGAACGGTAGTTTATGTTAGAATAAACTCCTAACAAAAAGCCATTTTCTCAAAAATTATTATTAATGACACTGAATTAAGCATTGAAATTTTGACGTATTTAATTATTTTATATTATTTTCTTGAAATCTTGAAATAAATAAATACATTTAGGTCAAAAAGACTCAAAATGATGGAGCAGATCACATATATGGAGTGTCTTTATATATCTGTTGAATTGATCAAATTCTTCTCTGTTTTGCAGGTGCTGGAAACAACACACATCCCAGAATTCCCCCTAGAGGTCCTGGTGGAGAAAACGGCCCCCTTCCCCCCTCCAACATCGCTGTTATCGCAGGTGCAGCTGGCGGTTCGGCTTTCCTACTGCTCGTAACAGCCGTGATCTGCGTGGTGTGCTATCGACGACGACACGCCAAGCACTCGGAATCGCACCACCCTCCACTCTCCCTCTCCTCCCTGACCTCGCCCAAACGGGGCTGCGGCGGGGGCATAGGAGGCGGCAACAACAACGGCTCGGAGCCTAGCGACATCATCGTTATAAGCAAGAAAAACTTGAATTTTTGATGGATTTGTAGCTTTCATATTGCCCAGTTTATTACAAACTTCAAACCATAAATGTTGTTTTGTCACTCTTTAATGTGGTGTGACAGATTGCTGCATTGCTAAAAGTCATTCAGTGTCCACAAGAATGTCCTTATACTATATATATATATA